GAGTTGGAGTACTGTGTAAGACCTGCTCCAGCACAGGAACATACCGTAGACTGATCTACCCTTTCTCCGACCTTGCACTGATGCGAACGCGACGACTGCACTGTCTATAGGCGCATCCACCCCGAATGTCTCCCTATAGGTAAGGACACCCACTGTGTCTACAGACGCTTGTGGCCAGAAAGCGAGGACGGTATATGGCACAGGCCCGCGATGTTGGCCTCCTAGGCCCGTGCAAGAAGGAAGCGTGAGATACGAAAAGAAAGGGGTCTTATGCGGGTGACACGGCGACCCTGCGCTGTGGCTCACGCGAGCCGCCGGCGCGGCACGCTCATTGGACACGAGGGCGCTCCCGCGCGACCCTACGCGCGCAGCTCACGCGCGAGTGTCGGCGCAGCTGGTGGGCTTTTTTTTACTCGGCGCTGCGACATTGGGAGGAAGGAGGGGCAGGGCTCTGAACCTCTGCCTAGTGCGACTGTTTGCAGCAGTGCGTCCAGTCTGGGGGAGACTCCACCCGCTCGAAACGGGCGCCCCAAAAACAGCCAAGATCCACTCCATGGGGGGGGGCGGGGAGGAGGAGGGGGTGCGAGGGCCCGCGCCGATCGGCAGAACCACGAATCCAGAAAAACGCCCACCAGCTGGAGCTTCCTTGCCTCGTCGCCCCTGCGCGCATCCAGCCGGCCTCGCTCCGAGACCTCACCTTGCGGACAGCCCCCCCCCTCTGCGGGGAGAGCCCCCGCACGGTGGGGCGCACGCCGAGGGCACCGGGCCCCAGGCTCTGGACACCGCGCGTCTGGGCGCGGGCCCACGGCGAAGGCGGCGGCGGCGGCGGCGGCGGCGGCTGCTGCGCCTGCGACGGCGGCGGCGGCGCCGACGGCGGCGGCTGCTGCGCCTGCGACGGCGGCGGCGGCGCCGACGGCGGCGACAACGGCGACGGTGGCGACGCAGTGTGGGCGTCTTTGAATTCGGCGTGTCGACACTGGGCGAAGAGGGGGGGGGAGGGGGGGGGGTCTGGCGCCCGACCTCTGCGGAGCGCGCCCGTTCGAAGGAGTGCGTCTTCTGGGGGAGGCTCCACCTGCTCCAAACAGGCGCCAAGCACAGCCAAGATCTACTCCATGGGGGGGAGGGGGGGGCGGGGGCGAGAGCCCGCGCCGATCGGCGAAACATTGTAAGGGCCTCCAGCCTGTGCCGCAGCCTGTGCCCAAGAGAACCCCCGATGGGGCGGGGGGGGGAGGGGGGGGGGCGAGGGCCCGCGCCGATCGGCAAAACAGTGACTAAGAAAACGATCACATTGTGAGGGCCTCCAGCCTGTGCCGCAGCCTCTGGCCACGAGAACCCCCGCATGGGGCGGACGCCGAGGGCACCCGGGCACCCCTCGGGGCCGCCAGCACAACGGACGCACGCCGAGGGTGCGCGCAGGATCTGCGGAGGATCCTGCTCCCCCCAACTCTCGCCTCCCAAGAGTCGGGAGCGGCCAAGAGGGGGGTGTCCAAGAGGGGGGGGGTGCAAATCATGACCCGCGGCACGTGCGCGGCCCAGCGGGGGGGGGCCAGGGACGTAATGAAATGAGAAGAGGCGCCATGAAATCTGGGAAGATATCATGGCCCACGCCATGATATCCACGCCCCCCTAGTCATCACCCCCCCTCTCGGCCGCCCCCGAAAGAGCTGGCGGCGCGCACAACGGGGGCAGGGGGGGGAAGGCTTCTTAGCAGGAGGCCGCTTCTTAGAATGTGCTGGCCTTGTATCTACAGACAAGGCCCGCGCCTTCTAGGATGACTACCTACCAGACCACCCCATCGCAACCCGACGACCCGAATTTCGGGTTGGCGGGGGGTACGGATTTCAGATGTGTTTTTTCTAATGTTCCCCGACCCCATCCCCGCTGGGAATGGAGGACAAATTGCGGCCTCCGGATTGGATTGGGATGGCTTGGTGGGTGGCGATCTAAGAAGCAGGGGTGCCTCTAAGAAGTCTTCCACCTGCGCGTGGCCGACGGGGGCCCTCTTTCGGCCTCTGGGGCCCCTTGCTTGGCCCCGGGGCGTCAGAGAAGCAGCTCGGGGCGCAGAACCGGTCCCGGCGAATGGGTCGAGACCTCAGGGGGTCCACGCTGAGAAAAGTCATGACGCCGGGGGTACGGGTGCCTCCTCCCCGTTCGTCACCACGCGCACGCGGACCTCCTCTCTCAGAGGAGCCCGGGATCCTCAGCCATTCCCACTTTTGAAAGATGGGGCTCTCGCGAAGTAGCGATCCATTCCCAGGGACCGGCGTTTCATCATCCCGAGTCGTTTTGTGGACCGTCCTGCGGCCCGGCGAGGGCCCATGGAGGCTGAAAACGACCCAGAACCTCGGACCGTGATTTTGAAACGACGCGATCCTGCCTGGGTCAAGGTTGGCCGGGAAGAAAGCGGGATCCATGACCAACACTGCACACCGAAACGTTGTGTCGATCTTGGTCACCGTGGATCTTGGTCTGCGTCGTTTCGCGGATCCTGCTGTGAAATCGGCGGCGGCCGACATGTACCAAGATCGGCACCGACAACATCCGACCAGATCCCGCGGCATCTTGGTCATTAGACAAGCGCGTTCCACGACTCGCAGGTGACTGCTCGCAAGTGGCCTGGATCCGCCGAGGGGATCTACCGTCCACTACATCGAGGCAGGCATGTATTTTTTGTCGGACGCTTGCGAGCAGGCACTCTGTGATTGGTGGAATGCGCTCGGTGAGTTGAGGGGCAGCAAGAGCGGGGGACTGGCACAAGGAGGGGAACATCGGCCTGGAATCGGCGATACATCGCCGGTAGATCCGCGACAGGCCCCCGATTGCGAATCCGCATGTTCCTGGGCAAGGCTAGGGCTATCGGGCCCCTATCCGCGATCAATGGGCGATTGGGGGTCAACGCATCCCCCCCTGAGCCAGCCCCCCACCCCCTCTCGTCGCCCCTTTTCTTCGATCCACTGGGGGCCTCAAAGGAGGTCCAAGTAGGCATCGCTGGGGGGGTCGATGCTAGAAGAAAAAAACAAAAAAAACATTAGCATAAAGTGTTGGCGCTCTGCGCGGATTTCTTGGATCTGCGCTGTACCCCCTCCCTGGCGCGCGGAACGCGCCAGGGACGGCGCCAGAGGCGCCGCGGGGGGGGCCCAGCGCGGATCCAAGACATCCACGCGGAGCGCCAAAAGTTATGTTTATGCCGTTGCTGCTCTTCTTTAAAATGCATCCCGCCTTATCCCCCCCGTCGTTTGCGCACTGGCGAACCAGGTTGGCGGCGCGCAGAAGGGGGTGGAGGGCGGTGGGAGGGCTTCTTAGCAGGAGGCTGCTTCTTGGAAGGCGCCGGCCTTACATCTATAGGTGCGGTCCGCGCCTTCTAAGAAGCAGGGGTGCTCCTAAGAGGCCCTCCCCCCTCCCCCTACCCCCTCTGCGTGCCGTCAAGGACGGGCCCCCAGACTTCTCGAACCTCTCCCCTGGGGGCCGTTTTTCCATCCTGCGCAGGTTTTTGGGTGGTCCCAGGCCCCCAGGGCTTGCGAAGAGCCAGCAATCGCGATCTCTGCCCTCCGCGCGTGGCTGACCACGGCCCCCGCAGGTCTTCCCTCGATATATCTGGAGTCCCGAAACGGTGCGGTGACAGACCATGCGGTGACCTCGAAATCCCGCAAGACCTCACCGCACAGTCCGTCACCGCACGGTCTTGTGACCCCGGAGGCCCCTGTCGCCCGAGAAGTCCTCGGAGAACGACCCGAGTCCCAAAACCGCGCGGTGACCCCGAGTCCCCGCGACTCACCGCACGGTGTGGTCACCGCCCCGTTTGGGGGCCCCCGAATATAGCTGATTGGGCCCGAGCCCGGGCAGTGCCAGAGAGGAGAGGGCGCTCGCCCGAGCGGGCCTCTCGGCGCTGGGGCGGGCCCCCCGGAGACCTGAGACGCAGCCAGGTCTCAGGCGCAGGTCGGGCGTGTCCCCCTGCAGGCGGATGCTGGACGAAAAAATGGAGGAGAAGTACCCAGAAGGTGTGCAATACATGCCCACAGATAATTACTGGAAAGATCGTCCCCCGACTATGTTTGGACCATTTTTGCAGATGCCTCCTGTAGAGAGGGACACGCCCGACTAAACCCTAGGACCCAAGACGCAGCCAGGCGTCTTAGCACGAGCATGAATTTGGACGAGCATAAGTTTCGGGAGCGGCCAAGAGGGGGGTGTCCAAGAGGGGGGGGGGGGGGGGGGCAAATCATGACTGGCGGCACGTTCGCGGCCCAGCGGGGGGACCGGGGACGCAATGAAACAAGAAGAGGCGCCATGAAATCTCGGGAAATAGCATGGCCCCCGCCATGATATCCACACACCCCCAGTCATCACCCCCCCTCTTTGCCGCCCCCGAACTAGTTGGAGCCAGGACGCTTCGCCACCGCCTGAAGGGCCGCCGCACCCCCGGAGCGCGACGGCGGGGCCGCATCGCCACTGCGGTGCCGAGGTGCACCGCCACGCCCGCGGCTGCTGGCACGCGCTGGAGCACCCTCTCGGGGCCCCCTGTGGACCCCTGCTGGCTCCCAAAGGGGCCCTTCCTCAGGGCCCCTTTAGGATTAGGTCGGGCCTGTCCCCCTGCAGGGGAATTTGGGACGAAAAATACACGACACTCCAAAAAAATACCCCAAAGATGCCCAAACATACCCAAAAAATAGTCCCCAGACTATGTTTTGACTACTTTTGAATGTTCCCCCTGTAGAGGGACAGGCCCGACTTAGCTCCAAAAGAGGCCCTTCCTTATGGCCCCTTTAGGGCCCTTTTCTTCACACCCTAGTTGGGCCACCCCCCTTTACCACCCGCCCGAGTACAGCACGAGTCTCTGAGGTTCGGCGGTTCTGGAACATGTCTCGGGCGCTGCGGCCTCCCCAGAGCGCCCTGGAACGCTCTGAGAGCATTCCGGCACGCTCCGGAACGGATCTATCCACGTCCCGGCCCCGTCCGGCCCACCCCGAGGCGGCACCCCGCGGGAAAAGGCGGGCGCGCGCCTCCGCCTCGCCACCGACGCCTCCCGCAGGCTCACGCACCGGTCGGGGTGGCTCCTGCGCTCCGGCCCCGCGCCCCCCCCGCGTCGTGAAGAAGTCACGACGGCAGGTCTTTCGCCATCTTCGGCCTCCGGGGGGCCCTTCGGCGGCAGCTCTCTGGCGGCCGCTCGGGACGATGCGGGCACCCCTGGGGACGCTCTCGGCGAGGCACGGCCGAGCTGGAGGAGGAGGAGGAGGAGGAGGAGGAGGAGGAGGAGGAGGAGGAGGAGGAGCCTCCGCGACGAAAACGCTCGAAAGCCTCGGTCCCCGAAGCCTCTCTCCCCTCCTCCCAGACCCCCTCGCGCTGTGAACAGAAAAATCACGACGGCTTTTGTTGTCGTTCTTGTCGGCCTCCGGAAGCCCTTCCCGGGGCTTCGGGACCGTCAGAGAACTACACTCGTGGATGCCACGACAATGGACATCCTAACAGTCCGATCACTGAATTTAAAATGTGTCCAACATGTAGGAAAAATGCCCGAAAAATGCCCTGGAAATGTTTGAAACATGTTGTTTTACATGTCTTACACAGTTTCTACACATGCTCTAGACATCCGGAAAGTATTCGGCAACATGCTTCCTCTCCAAGTGGTCGTCCTCCACACAGCTACGCCCGCAGGAGGAGAGGCCGGTCCATGGGGGAGGGGCCCAGGCCTCCGGGGGTCGACGCCGCAGAGCAGAGCACGGCGCCGGGGGTCTGGGGAGGCAGGCAGACCCCGGGGGGCCCCGCAGGGAAGGCAGCGGGTCAACGTCTTTGGCCTCGACGCCTTCACCTCAGAAGCTTGGGTCGGGCGCTGCAGGCAGATCTTTTTTGGACGAGAAATAAGAAGTAGCCAAAAGGGATACAAAAAAATCATCAAGCACAGTCGAAAAGTCGTCCCCTGATTATTTTGGGACTATTTTTGCATCTTCCTCCTGCAGAGGGAGGAGACGCCCGACTTCATCAGAAGCTCTGGCACCAGCAGTGATGGACCTGCGGGCTCGACTCGAACAGGAGCTTCCGTGCGGAGTCGGCCTGAGCCCTCGGAGCCAGAAAGCGTACCCCGACCTCCTCCTCCTCTCCTACCGGGACATCGCATGTCTGGGGAGGGAGGGAGGGAGGGTTTTGACCTCCTCCTCCTCCTCCTCCTCCTCCTCCTGCCCCTCCTGCCCCCCCCCCCCCACTGCGCAGCCTGGATCGTACCAGGAGATCGCATGTCTGCGGAGGGAGGGAGGAGGGAAGGATGTTGACGAGCATGATAAGCGTGCAGGGGCCACAACGGCGCTGCGAGCTGCCTGGCAGGGCGTGCCCTCTGAATGCGAGAGAATGAGCTCTCTGACTGCGAAAGAGTGCGAACCTCGACCTCCTCCTGCGCAGCCTGGATCGTACCAGAACGTCGCATGTCTGCGGAGGGAGGGAGGTGAGGGGCAACGAGGCGGGGGCTGGCAGAAGGGGGGGATGCATCGACCTGGAATCGGCGATACATCGCCGATAGACTCATCGGCGATGAGCCTCCGATCCCGAGTCCGCACCTTCCTGGGCAGGCTGGGGCTGTCGGTCCCCCATCGGCGATCAGTGGGCGATAGGGGGTCGGTGCATCCCCCCCTACAGCCAACCCGCAGAGTAAGGATGCGCGATAAGGATGCAAGGCCCTTGGACGCCCATCTCGAAGCGTTTCGAGCGGGGCGCGGCCAACGAGAGTGTCCAAGGATGGACCCGGGAAGCAAGGATGCAAGGGTACCCTTGGGAGGGATGCCTATCCTCACTCTGCGGGTCGACTGTGTGCCTATCCCCCCCCCTATCGCTGTGACCGAGGGAGGGAGGGAGGAGGGAAGGCCTTCGACGAGCACGGCGAGCGGCCAGGGGGCCACGGCGGCCGTGCGCCCTGCCTGGAAAGGGCGCACGAGGAGGGCCCCACGGCCGCCAGGCTCCGGGGGGGCCCGGGGGCGCCGAGGCGGCGGCCCCGGGGCTGTGGGCCCAAACGGCTCCTGCAGAGTGCTTGTGGCGTTGTTGTTGTTTCTCGTCTCGCTCTGCCCCCGTTTCCCTTCGACTGCTCGCAGGAGTGACCCTGGGTATGGCTACCTGACCACCCCAACCCAGCCCGAAGACCCGAATTTCGGGTTGGGGGGTGTACGGGCTTCATGTGTGTTTTTTCCATGTTCCCCCACCCCCCCCCGACTGGAAATGGAGTGCAAATTGAGGCCTTCGGGTTGGGTTGGGGTGGTTTGGTGAGTGGTAAGGGTAAGAATGACCGTTGGTGCGCGACTCTTCGGGGGCCGCAGGGGGGGCCAAGCCTGGGCGCGCCAGCAGCTGCCGCTGCCTCGTCTTTAGCCGTCTGGGGACCCATCTGTGCCCGCACCAAAGGTCACTCCGGCGAAAGGTCACTCTTACGTCTAGTCGATCCCTGCACCTCCCTCCCGAAGCGAGAGACCAAATACAACCGAAGTCCCTCAAAATAGCGTTCAGGTCCAGCCCTGGCCCCATCGGGCCGAGGGGAGAGCCCGGGGGCTGGAGGTCGCTGGGGGCGCAGCGTTGCCTCCAGGGCCAGATCCCGCCACGCCCGGCCAAGTTCGTGCAGGTGGGGCGCTCGATGTCAAGGTTCCGCCTGCAAATGCCGTACAATGCCTCACGAGGACGAAACGAAAGGAAGGGGGGACAAGCTCAGGGGGGGAAACCAGCTCGGAAGGCGCACTTGATCCATCAATAGCAGTCCTTACGACCCCCAGTCGCAAGGCGCTCGGATCTTGGGTTTGCTCTCGCCGACGATTGGGCTGCTCAGGCTTGCTCTTACCCTACGAGCATTACCCCCCGTCGTCGCCCCAGAAGCGCAGGTCGCGTTCGCTACCCCTCAGCGAGCTTCAAGCCAATCGGGAAACTCACAGAGGCACAAAGACTGATGGGACCCACTCCAGACGGCAAAGGTGCCCATACTAGAATAAGAAAAACGGCATAAACATAAACTTTTGGCGCTCCGTGCGGATGTCCTGGATATGCGGTGGACCCCCCTCCCTGGCGCGGATTCAATAAATCCGCGTGGAGCGCAAACTATTTATGTCTATGGCCCTCTTTCTTCTTCGACATATCCAACGCTACGCGAGGTCCACGCGGGCACGTCACCGCCGAATCGGTGGTGATGTGCATACATTCATGACTGCAGCCCCTGTCTCGAGCTGCTCTATCCGCATCCCCGGCCTGCGCCCTCCTCGTCATCACACCTCATGTTTCTCCGCAGCCACGCTCCCTTACAGTCGGACCTAAGACAGAAGAACATCCTTCAAGAACATGAGACATTCCGCTGGCCAGAATATCCCAAACCATACGATTATTCGAGTGCACTCTCCCCCAGGATGCACAAGAACATCCAACAAACACGAAGAACATTAGGGTACCCTCCCCGAACCGACCTCGATCTCATACCCTGGGCTGACCGTACTTGTGAGATTAACCCCATGCCCACGATAATAATGGCACCCCCCCCTTAAGTCGTTAGAGTTTTTTATCGTCGACCAATAAGAGTTTGGTCGGGGGCGCGGGGCGCGGATGCCAAACTTCATTATCACCTCGGAACGTTATGTTGAGATAGCAAGATCAAGCTATGTTGAAATAGCAACATCAAGCGAAGCGATCACACTTTTTTCAGGATGTCTCAAGCGAAACCAAGAATTTTGGGAGGCAGGCTCAAACGAAACGAGCAAGGTTTCAAGGATGTCTCAACCGCAACCAGTAATTATGTGAGGATGTCTCAAGCAATTCGAGAAGCTTGTCGAGGATGTCCCAAGCGAAACAATCATATACTCGAGGATGTCTCGAGCGATTCGAGAAGCTTGTCGAGGATGTCTCAAGCGAAACAAGCATATACTCGAGGATGTCTCAAGCGAAACAAGCATATACTGAAGGATGTCTCAAGCGAAACGATACGTTTCTTAAGGATGTCTCAAGCGAAAACAACAATTCTGTGAGCATGTCTCAAGCGAAACCACGAATTTTGGGAGGCAGGCTCAAACGAAACGAGCAATGTTTCAAGGATGTCTCAAGCGAAACCAGCAATTCTGCGAGGATGTCTCAAGCGATTCGAGAAGCTTGTCGAGATGTCTCAAGCGAAACAAGCATATACTCGAGGATTGCTCTTTTTCTTCCTCTTCTCGTCTCCTTCTTTTTTCTTAATTTATATTTTTATGTCTTTATATATGTCTTTATTTCTTTCTTTTTTTCCTCTCTCTCCCCATGCCCCCCTGAACTTGTTTATCCCTGGTGTTGATTATCCATGGCAAGTGAGGCACATGAGCTACCCTACACGAGCACTCAAAAAAATCAATTGTCAGAAAGCGTTTGTAAATTAAATCTAATAGATTTGGAACTTGAAATTTTTGCTCGTGTTCTGCCTCTTCTCTTCTCCTTCTTTTTTCCTTAATTTATATTTTTATTTCTGTATATGTTTCTTTATTTCTTTGTTTTTTTTCCTCTCTCTCCCCATGCCCCCCTGAACTTGTTTATCCCTGGGGTTGATTATCCACGGAAAGTGAGGCACATGAGCTACCCTACACGAGCACTTAAAAATGTTAATTGTCATAAAGCGCTTGTAAATAAAAAATAATACATTTGAATATTCAGTTGTTTTGTTTTATCAGCCTTTCCTCTCCTCTTCTACTTCTCCTCCTCATTTCTTCTTGCCCTTTTCCTTTTTAATATTTCATTTATGTATTTCCCTCAACTCTCTCTTTGTTTTCTTCATCTCTCTCTCTTTATATCGTTCTCTCTCCCCATGCGCCCCTGAACTTGTTTATCCCTGGGGTTGATTATCCACGGAAAGTGAGGCACATGAGCTCCTACACGAGCACTTTTTAAAAAATTTTGAACAAAAAACACAAAAAAATAAACCAAAAAAAGCGTTTGTAAGTAAAATATGATAGATTTGGAACTTGAAATGTTTGCTTGTCCTCTTCCTCTCCTCTTCTACTTCTCCTCTTGAATGTTTCTTCTCCTCTTCATTTTCATTATTTCTTCTCTCTCTCTCTCTTTTTTATCTCTCTGTCTCTCTCCC